CAATCATACATTCCTCAACGCTGTAATTTTACGCATGACCAGGAATTTTTTTGCTTGAGTGTAGACGAGGAGACCATTTGAAGCAGTAACTATTCTGATACAAGTTTACCAGCACACACACACACACACACACCGCCACACAGATCGAGTCAACACGGAAGGAACTTTATTGGATGGCGGTCATGGTCTGACCCGCGGCCAAGGACGTTGTGGTGTACCAGGCTAGTGTGTGTGGGGGGGGGGGGGGAGTCCCAGAATAGTGTGTGCAGAGGGGGTGAGTCCCAGGCTAGTGTGTGTGTGTGGATCCCAGAATAGTGTGTGTGAGTGTGACAGTCCCAGGCTAGTGTGTGTGTGGGGGGAGGAGTCCCAGAATAGTGTGTGCGAGTGTGACAGTCCCAGGCTAGTGTGTGTGTGTGTGTGTGTATGTGTGAGTATTCAGGAGTTCCTTAAGGCCAGGCCAGGGGTGAGATGTTAGGTGTGGGGTAAGTTGCGGGATTTCGTGGTATAGTTTATGATCCACAGAGTAACCAAAGGGACATTATTCTTCGCCTATGTCTGTCAGTACTCCCGTTCCCTCGACCACGCCTAATTAACCGTTCACAAACTTTTTTATTTACATTAGCCAATAAAACTCTGTGTTGACTCAATCATACGTTTATGTTGTGTGGTTTTGTTTTTAACGTTTGTTGTGGTAGTTATAAAAGTTATACCATTATTTGACGACAGATTCTTTGGTGTGTGTGTGTGTGTGTGTTTGTACACTAAGTTAACCGAGATAGTGATATTTTAGCGGGAACATTATCAAGTAGCGCACAGAATCTCTCCAACTCAGATTCAGCTTAATATCAGTTCCATTTTTAGAAAATCCCGTTGTAATTATACTCATAGTTGGTATTTTCCTTTCTGATAAAACCTCAACTGATAATCCCTTCACTTGTGCCTGCAGGAAGCGCCGCTAGGACCCAGGACCCTTACTATGTTATTACCGTCGCCAGGGAAGCAGAACCACATCCTCCCTACACCCTGAGCCGCCCCCCCCCCCCGACGACAGGTGATCTAGGACGCCAGGAACCAGGATTATAACTGTGTCCTCTATGTCCTAGTTACCTACACACTCTCGTTGACGCTCCTACCCCTCTTCTACGGTAGGACGTCAAAGGCTCCCCAGTACTAAGAGACCTCGACCTATTCCGTGGTAAATCTTAGGGATGGTGCCTAATGGGGTTGAGATCTAATAGGAGTGTAAGTGTTTGCGTGTCTGTCTGTGAACCCCTAACAGGACCCAACCATGAACCTCTAAATGATAACCTTAGTTTTTTTTTCCTTTAATAGCTGAGGTGGATTAAATATGAAAGGAACGAAAGTATATTTGGATAAATGAGAAGGAGGGAGAATGGGTAATAGACAAAGAAAGTGGACAAGGGGAAGTGTAGGACAAAGTGAGAGGTACAGAAGGAGGTAAAGAGAGTGGATGAAGGCGACGACTACACTTCACTTGAGGGAGGAACCGGTTCTCGCTGTGTGTCATCCTCAAAGACGTGACTCTGAAATATGGCGGCTCTAGTAGTCCTTGTATTGAATGTTTATCTCAAGTATTTATATTATAATTCTTTCCGTCCTCGACTTGTTCTGCGTATATACATAATTATCTTCACACATACATACTTACACAGACATACAGACAGGACTGACCGACACGTGAAGGGGGTTCTCTCTCGGCGTTCACATATCAGTACAAGTCTTTCACAGCCTAAATCAGAGGAAGCAAAGAGCGATGTTGTGTTAAGTGATCTGGTTTATTTTCTATCTCAGTGGGCGCGACCTGACTAGCCCTCAGTTACATATGTGTCGCCTCTAGCAGGAACGGGAGCTGGGTCCTCCGCCCTCATGATGGTATAGTGATATCCAGCACAGGTAGTAGGTTCTTCCTATGCTTTATATAATGATGGTGATGATGATGTTGATACAAAACACAGGTAGTAGGGATTTCTGCCGATGATGATGATGACGATACAAAAGTCAGGTAGTGGAGTCATTATCAGCTGCTCATCATCCAGCTCCCCCACCCCGAGGCTTCATTACGCATTAGAAAGTCTGATGATGACTCCATTTTCTTGAGAGTGTGTGGCAGTGGCCTTAGTGTGAGAGTAACTGTAGTATAAGAGTGTATGTAGCGTGCGAGGGTGTGTGAGAGAGTGCCAGTGTGTGAATTTAGTAACTAGTGTGCGTGAGTTTTTTTTTGTGCGTGTGTGTGTGTGTGAGTGTGTGTCCGTGCCTAAGCGTGCGTGCATATGCGTGAGTTTGGCGGGAGACAGCAGGTGGAGTAGTTAACGGGAGCGTGGTCGGGGAGGTTCGGACCTGCATCGGTAATTATCGACAAGGTGTACAACCCAACCGGAAGTCCTCCTCCCCTTCTCTCTCTCTCTCTCTCTCTCTCCTTCTTTCCCTATATCATCTTCTATCCGTTTCCTTCCTTCCTTCCTCCCTCCCACCTCTCTCCTTCATATTCTCTCCCTGTTATCCCTTAGTCTCTCCTTTAACACCTCCACAACTTACCGCGACTCCCATGAACGTAACTAAACTATACTCACACACAAACAAACAAACAAATAAGAGTAGATAAAAGCACCAACACACAAATAACCAATCACACAAACACACACGACACCAATAATAAACACACACTCGTGCACACACAGCCATCAGCGGGTCAAACAACAGTTAACAATTGTCAAACGACGGCGGATGGTGTTAGACCGACCAACACCTCTAACAGTCTGATTACATGACAGTACATCGCCGTCCCAAGAATGATCTGCCATATATCGTCTCGTATTTGGTAGAGGATGAACAAGCAATTGGTAGGCGGACTTTCGTGTGATAATGACCAACACAGGTGTTTAGTGTTTATCTCAGGTGTTTGTCTTGGGGTATAACTGGACTGGATCAAATTAGAAACGGCTCAGTGAAGTGACTTACCGACGGCCCCTCCCACGTAATGTTTACCATCGAGCTTGACTCAGGCAAAACAATATCGGACTGCGTCGCTTCCTGGACTGAGATACGAGTCCTACTTTTGAATGTTATATATTTAAGTACATCTTATATCAATTTACTGACCACAAAATTCAATTGACTGACTTTTCTCCTATTTAGCTGTGTTGTGTTGCAGTCCAGTCCAGACGATGCAAAAATAAGGTGTTATCCATTAGCGTAAAGCATTGTTTTAACTGTTAGTGTGGATAAACTATATCACCTCCTATAATGATCATTTTTATTAACAAGTCATATTCAATGGTTCTATAGTGTAAACATATCAACCGCTCCTCGTGGGCTGGAGACTGACGAACGTGAAAAGAACTTATTAATCAACAGATCATTTAAGAAAGTGTTGATTCCTTCTCTGGCTTTGTTGATTCAGCTGAAGTTTGGTTACTACCGGGAAGTTATCTCACTTGTGGGAGCACTAAATCTAAACTGAAACGACAAGAGAAATCAATGAAGCTTACACAGAAAATTAAACCGAGTCACGAAACGTCTGTAACGATGAAAACACTTTAACAGATAAACACCGTCGACCTCCTTCCTGCACTTGAGAATCGAACAAGACCTCATTATAATTATGGAACATTGATGGTAGTGACACAGAATGCAGCTTTTAAGTGTAATAGCTTAATGATGACGTCGCTCTCACAGCTATGATCGAGAGGCCATGACGAGAGACAATAACACAACAACAGTCACATAATAACCTAACAGTTACGGTGGGAAGAGTGAGACACCCAGGCCACAGTTATTATATAATTACATTTAATAATTTCTCAGAACGTAGAATTCATCGACATGGTGATGGTGGGAGTGACCTCATGACACCAGTTCATTCCACAGTGACAGATCAACCTCACGTACTGACCAATATAACTTTTTGTATCGTTCTCACCAGCCTCTGCTCACCATGGTACAGAATGATCGACCAAGAGCTGATCTCCTCAGTCTCAATATTCACCAGCTACTGACTTACTCCGCCCTCAAGTCTTGCTCCACCATCGACAATTTTACTGACAATTCGTAGTTTTTAGGAAATATTCACACGTTTTAATATTACTTCCTTGCAAGAAGCTAAACAAGGTACAGCTTCAAGTATGGAAAATCTTCTTTTATCTCTGTCTGTCAGCACAGTGGTACACAAACATCGAGACATCATGTTAAGTCATATGATATGTTTTAAGACACACACGCACACACACACACACTTACACCTTTACAGCTACACATACACACACACACACACACACCTGCACACATAATCCTAATCCTTAAACGGCTTCTCACCGTTGTAGCTAACTCCGTATTAAAGGCACTGAACACTCATTAATCACACTTCAACCCACACCTTACTATATATTAACTACTCATCAATCACCTTTCAACCACCAGCTGTTTAAGTCTCTCAGTAACCATACATCAATCACATTCCGCAGAGCCCGCCAGAGGTGCTCCGCTTATGGTCAACCCAGCCACTACCTTAACACCACGAGATTAACGCTCACTAAATATTGCCTCACCATTTAAGTGTCATTCCTTTACCTGTCACCTGTCATCTACTACCTGTCATTTACCACCTGTCACCTGCCATCAATCACCTGTCATCGATATACCACCTGTCACCTGCAACATCACGCTCGGCTCCCTAATCTCCATGCATTTACGCTTGTCATCATCGGTGCTGTGAGTTTAACATACTGTACTTGTAAGCCTTCAGTATTACAGCCTCCTTATCATTTAATAAGTAATTTATCGTGACAAACAACTTAACACAGTATATGGTTGTGTGGTGAACTGCTCGTCGCTTACTTCACTCTGCATGACCAAGTAAAGCTTCTCCCCGCCTTAACGATGGCCGAGACCAAGTGAACTTTTTTATTTGTTCAACAGAGAGAGAGAAGATGAAGTAAGAGTAATAGGTGTAGTAGCCTCGCCTCACAGGTCAAACACTCTACCTTTTTTCCTTCGGGTTTGGTGTCAATGTTGCGTGGTTCTCCCGCCTTGCTTGTCTGCCCCAGCTGGTTGTTGGGCAGTGTGCCGTGCAGCGCCATACCCAGCTGTTGCATCAAGCTCGCGAAGGGCACGTCACCGCCCTCCTCCTCGGCCATCTTGCGGGCCTGCAGCACCTCTGAGGTAAGCTGCGGGTGCGGATTAGTCAGGGCACCAGGGGCAAAGGTAGCAGAGATGAGGGAAGAAGAATAAGGATAACGTTCCTCAAGGGCGCGGCCCTCGGGCTCATACTTCTCTCCCTTGTAGTAGTTCTCTATCAACTCTATGCCGTGGACTGCCCCGGCCAGCACCACCACACTACACGCCAACATTTTCAACATTTTCTAACACAAACTGTCAAACAAGCATCAAGGTTCACAAGTGTGTGTGTGTCAAGCTAGGGAGTTCCCGCAAGGCACGACCGTGTTCGCTGGCGGCTCACTTGCTACTGCCAGAGTGAGGTCTCCACTCAACCCTCCAGTCCTCAAGGCCCGCCCCTCCCGCGCCTCCTCCCCCGTACGTGAGTAAGTTTGCGCGTGCAGGTGCGCGAATGCGTCGGCTCCCCCCCTGGTGTGAGACCTTGTGTGTAGTGAAGCATGAACATGTGTGTCAGAGTAGCTTACACCTGTAATGTAGCATAAGTAGCGAGGTGACGTCACGAACTGGGTTGTCGGCACCCCAGCACCCTCCCCCACACACCCTACACACCCTCCTTCCCTCCCCCACACACCCCACACACCCTCCTTCTCTCCCCCACACACCCCACATACCCTCCTTCCCATCCCCCACACACCACCCTCCTTCCTCCACACACCCCACCACCCTCCTTCCCTCCCCACACACCCCACCACCCTCCTTCCCTCCCCCACACACCCCACCACCCTTCTTCCCTCCACCCCACACAGACACACCTCACACTTCACCAGTCATCATTCCACTTAACAACCGCCAGTGTTGAGAGTCGTACCTCACCTGTAATCAACACTCCTCCTTAGACAGTTTTAGACAGGTGAATGTTTATCTCAAGTAAGTGAGTGTTTGTGAGTTTTCTTTCCAGAGTCAACGAGATTCTTTTAGGCGGATCAGAGCAACAACAAAAACAACGCAAGAACGTGCCGCCATAATTCCATTGACAATTGGTTTCACTTTATTTTTTGAGTGTTTCTTGTCAGTTTATTCAAGTAGTTTTGTTTGGTCCTTAACGTTTCTCAACATTTTCACAACTTTAAATAACAGCACCAAAAATTCTTAGTCCGAAAGTACAGACAACTTTCACTGTTTGACCAAGAAATTTCAAGAGAAAGTTTTTATACGTTAAAACTGTTTTTCTGTCCATGACCTGACACACACAAGCATCAAGCCTCCCCTGTCACACCAGACCTCCACCAACCATTAACTTTCGTCCAAGTTAGGTGGAGAGTCTGTATCGCTACCTCCTGAAAATTGCTTTATAAAGTAGCCTTCGACGACCCACTAAACTTATCACTAACAACACCATATCTATATTAAAAAAGAAAGGTGGGAGTACCGGTGGGAGGTGAGCCTGTGTAGTATGTGACTCATCTGTAGCTCTCAGGTGGTGCTGTGGACGAGAGATCGTCACGCAGGACTTACTGTCGCCGCGCCTCAGTTCCTTCAAGAACAAAGATGAGAAATGAACCCGACCGGGTGAACGAGTCACCCGCTGTGCCACCTGAACCTCATCCACCAATACTGGCACAAACAGAAGTCACCTCACGCTCACCCCATGCTAATACCTATGTTTCTCTAGACCCCCACCACCCATCACCCCCACCACACGCCACCCACCACCGCCCGCCAACCCCGCCACCCGCCACCCCCGCTAGCTGGCGACGCCATATCTGATATAAATGAGTTTTATTCACCATTTATTTATATCATATATTCTCGAAAAATAATAGACATGTTATATTTTGTGTTTCTAAACAGTAACAAGTGATTTCACAAACCCAGATCCTCAAGGTAACATTCTCGTGCATAAAAGGCGCTGAGAAGACTCAAGTGCCACACAGTTCCCTCCTACAGGAACACTGAAGCCTCAACTGATGTACTCACCCGGATGAACTAGGTGTGACCTCTGCCTTAGAGAGTAATATTATGACTCAGTGACCTTCACATTATGAGTCAGTGACCTTCACATTATGAGTCAGTGACCTTCACATTATAAGTCGGTGAACCTTCACATTATGAGTCAGTGACCTTCACATTATAAGTCGGTGAACCTTCACATTATGAGTCAGTGACCTTCACATTATGAGTCGGTGAACCTTCACATTATGAGTAGGTGACCTTCACATTATGAGTCGGTGAACCTTCACATTATGAGTAGGTGACCTTCACATTATGAGTCGGTGAACCTTCACATTATGAGTAGGTGACCTTCACATTATGAGTCATATTACAAAATGATCTTGCCGATGTATTCACGCCCTTCCTGTAGGGACGGAAACACAAATACGCACCCGGATGACGACACATGCTTTATCGTTTCCTGCAGCGGTTGTTAATATGGTAGAAGCTGCCAGGGGAAACCCCTGACAGCCAATAGAAAGTGACTAATAGGGAGAGTGAGCGAGATGCGTGCAGATGGAGGAGCATCAGAGAGTTGTGCCTTAAAAGTGTCGCTGCTGAGGAAGACTGCAGGCTCGACTCTTGTGCCGCTGCTCCCTCCTGTGGACGATGTTTTTGTTGGTGTGGATCATCTGCTGTAGCTGGGGATGCGTGAAGCCCTGGCTTACCCCCTGAGGACGCCTGTGTTGTGTTCCACTCATGGTCTGATTACGTCTTATATACTCTACCTCAATCTGCTTTGTTTACAGCTTGTGTATTGTTTACACCCTCTGATTGAATTGTCTCTGTTCATTCTCTTTCCTCTGTCTGTCAACATTTACTATCCACACACACACACACAGACACACACACACACACACACACAGACACACACACACACACACACACACACACACACACACAGTTTATAAAAATACTGGGCTAATTAAAATAACTCATATTTTCAGTATAAACCTGACGTAGGAACATATTTATCAACTCTTCTGGGAGGTTTAATTTCCCGTCGATCTACACCAACATGAACGGTGAAGTGGTATGAAACGTTGTGAGTCAATATGGACATTTAACCTAAGATGAACGAGTATGTGTGTGTTTATTCTAATTTGTTTATGTAGCGTGTTGTTCGTTTCACCCTTGGCATACACCTTCCTCCACACCTCCCACCCCCCCACAGCTCTTAGAGGCTTGTGTACCCCGTGATCACCCTACAGAAAAGCCTAAAAGTAGTAATGATAAATAAACAGAACATTACGATAGAAGGCCAGTACTCCCTGACCTCTCTCTCTCTCTCTCTCTCTCTCTCTCTCTCTCTAGGTCAGTGGGTTAATGGACATGAGCATGACTCGTCAGTTGTTACATCACAAACAAACACACAGATGATCGTTACCATCTCACACCTGACTTTAACCCCCGTTATCATAATAAAGCCACACCTGAAGAGATTCTCTCAGAGTGGTTACACTGACCAGACCACTTAACACACCCCCCTCCCCCCCCTTTTCCCTCTCCTCCCTTCCTCTTGTCCTTTCCCCTCGTTTTCCTTCCTCTCCCTCCCTCCCCTTCCTCTTCTTCCCTCCTTTCCTTCCTCTCTCCCTCCCTCCCTAACACCCATCTCCGCCACACCCATCACCGCAGTCAAAGTCTTCGTAATTCATCTTCTTTTTAGTGATATATGCGAGGGAAGTGTACGCCCACCTGTCAACTCCATCTACTTTTCTTTGTTACTTTACAGAGCTATAGAGACACTAGGGTCCATCCCAGCAGAAACTTAACGTCAGTATGCGGCCTTATTGTCACCTCAACGTTCTGTGACTGTTGGACTGAAGAAGTATTATTATTATTATCATTATTTCTTTTAATAAATGATGGAGGGGGTGGAAGACGGAGGTGGAGGGTGAAAGGCAGAGTGGTAGATCAAGGTGAGTAGAGGCGTGGAAAGAGTGGAAGTGGAAAGCTAAAAAAGAATGGACGATAAGAGCAGAGGAGCGATCTGGATGGCGGGGCGAGGAGAGAGCACCGTGTGGGTGACATCGAGAGAGGATTTCCAGAACACATGCCATCGTATCACGGAGGTCTCGTCTCACTCTCCCTCCTCATTCAACACCATGGATCAACTTTTAATCACTAGCTGAACGACATATTTCGAGATGAAAGGAGAAAGTTGATCTTTATTATGGAAAGTTAAAATCGAGAATAAATTGGCGAATAAAAAAAAATAAGTGAAAAGCAGGACTGTCAGACTCACTGTTTAAATATGTACAATCACTCCTTGCCTGACTGGTATGATGCACACCACACGCCACATCCACAGTACAGAAGTTTAGTTATATTCAATTACTATTCAACTTTATTTCAATAACCCATAATAGTTTACCCGTCACATACAAAAGAATCATTCATTTCTTGCAAACAGTTGGGATACGGAACTCTCCATCTGTCAACTCTCACAGACGGAAGTGGAGTGAAGACAGTAGAGGGCATTGTCCACCTGTCCCCCCGTCTGTGCTGAAGTGTGTTATTGCGTGATCTATGAGAAGTCTTGATCTACCTTACAAAACTTTAATGCTAAAAACCTTTCTAAATCTACATAAAATACAAATTAAATTACAAAACTACTGTAGAATTTTATCTTAGAATTCTACAATTAATTTAGAGTTAGACGAGAAAGTGACTAGTTCCTCAGTATAAATTACTGTGGTGGAGACTATTCAAAAGATATATGTCTCAGTTACGCTACCATACCTGCCTGAAGCTCTCTCCTCTCACTCTTCACTTCCTCAAGATAAGTGACTTTAATCCATAAGTTCAGTGAGAAATATGTCTAACAGGATTACTATGAGGAAGATTCAAACATCAACCTGACCTCCGAGATTCCAGGTTTATATAATCGTGTGGTTTATCAATTAATTACCCAACTTATATAATTAAAAGTGATATTGTCTCTCTTCTTTAATCTCATGATGCTTATGAGACATAATGTAGAGTCCCCAGCTCCTACAGTGGCCGGGTGAGTAAGAGGGTTGTGTTGCACTATGAGCTGTTTCATATAGTGAAAGCAGGATGACCTATAATGGCTAGGTGTTAGCATATCATAATTAGAGCTTCATATATCACGACTTTCACCGTGTGAATCAACTTTCTTTGTGCGTGATAGTCGTGATGATTTTGCGTGATGTTAATTAATTGATTTACAGATAAAGCTCCGTACACTTTCGGCGTCCTTATCATACGTTACAGTTTGTACAGGTTTACTGGTTACAGAGTCGCGCCCCTACGGCGGTAAATTCACATCCACTTTCCAGTTTGACATCATGACTCCCTCAACAACCAGTTAACTTCCACAAACTGAG